AATCATTACAGGGAGCAGAGGCAGCTTTTTCCTCAGGGACTGGGGTCACAGAGCTAGAGGCCTATGTAGGTGGAAAGGGTGTTTTCAGTTAGATTTCTTTCATGGCTACAAAGAACTGAATTATTTGACTGCAGTGCTATCAAAGAAGTTGTTCCAAAAGCATTCTTTGTCAAAAATGATAGAAGGTATTGTTCAAAAAACTTCATACTTTCATTTTTAACACTGAAAATCTCAGGAAGCAATTCTGAACATAATGCACTTTACAACTAGAAAATAAGTAGATTGAAAACAGTTACAGAACAGATCAGAATTTTAATCCCACACAAAATCCACAGCCTTTTTGTGCTTGTACTCCTAGTTATTTTACATGAGGATTATTTTACTTGCAAACGTCATAGGAAAATGGAAGAAATAATTCCTGAAAGAAGAAGAGAGCACACATAGAGTGTTACATCTGAAATGTGAACTTCAAACAGCGGAAAGGACATTAATCTCCTTTTGTGCGGTATCAGAACTGTGAAGAAATGCACACATCTGTGGTATTCAGCCTCTTTTCCTTTTGTGGCAAATAGCAGCCACTGCAACAATAAACAATCTGAACACTCCACATGATCAAGTTTTGGTTGTTTTTGGTTTTTTTCCTTATGCTCTAGGGACACAGCAAGATTATTCCAATTAGAAAAGAGGACAAAAATTGCCATGAGAATGGCATAACTCCAATCTTTCAACACATCAAAATACATCTTTAAACAGAGATGCCTCTGCCTGTGCTCCAAGCAGCAGCAGACTGGACTGACTGCATCACAGGCAGACCTGGGTGCCCAGACAGCTGAGCTGGCTCAGGATGCCAAATTTATCCGAGTCTGTTCTACTCTACATTCAGGGGCTTCTGAAATCACTGTTAAAACCCCCATGAAGGAAGTGAAAAGGTCACATTTCACAGGCATATGCAGCTGCTGGAGTTTTAGCCTTAACTGATACTTACACATCATGCAAAACCCCATAAGATGTGTATGTGTTGTACTTCAGATTTACCACAGCAGCTCACATTTCTCAACAGGAAATGGCATGGGATAAAGAACGAGGGGAAACACCAGGAAACTGCAAAGGAGCTGGGATTAATTTACAGCATTTGTCTGAACTGAATAATGTCTACTTTTCTGCTTCACCCTACAACCCTGACAATGGTAAAGTAAAAAATACTTTAATTGGAGGCTGGGGTGAAACTGAAGAGGAAATCTCTTGTTCCTGGATTTAAAAATCCAGGGCCCTTCTCTCTCCTTCCAGGAGACATCCAAGCCTTTTCATTGCCTTTCCCTGCTGCTCCCAGGGGCCTCTTGCAGTTCAGGGTGTTGGTAGAAGCCATAGAGTAGCACAACCTGTTGAGCTCCAAAGCTGAAACACCCCCATTCCCACTGGGAAGTCCTGCTCCATCCTGTGTTACCCCGCCCTGCCATTTGCCCTTGAGAGGAATGATGGATTTGTCTTTACGAACAAGCTGTGGGTTTGCTGATAGATGAAACTAGCACTGAGAGATAAAAGGAACAATGGGATGGGGATGGATTCCAATGATTGATGAATGGAAAAAGATTACAAAGCCTTTACAAACAAACTGTATGTTTGCAGGTAAATGAAACTGGATATTGAAAGGTGAAAGAGACACTGGGGAAACACCATAAATTCCATAAGAATTAAAAATTAAGGGGGAGGGTTATACATTAGAGGGGAATCTTAGGTATCAGGGGTTCTGGGAAATCTGTACCTCTCAAGTACCTCAGCCAATGGGGAAAGAGAGAGGGACTTGTGGTTGGGAAATTAAGATAATTCAGAAATTAAGATAAAAAACTGAGAGACCCCAGGGGAATGCCCCATGGCCTCTCCCTTTATTTGAATAAAGTAAAAGGACTCCTCTGTCTCCTTTTTAGACATAAACCTCTGGTGTTTGTGGATTAATTTTCCTGCCACTCTCCTCCCAGAGGCGCATTAGTCCTTAAATCACCATCCCTGATCCCAGGACAGGGAGCAGGAAAATATCAGCTTGTCAAGGCCTGACCAACAAACACAAAGGATTTCGTTGTTGCTGGAGAAATGATGGTTCCTGGTGGGAATCATCCACTCCGTTACTCACCTCCCACACTCCCCCACTGCTGTATTTATGCAGCAATGGGATAACTCAGCTTCAGCCCAGCTCTCCTCCTTAACGTGCCCAAATCAAAAGATTAAATTGCAAAACGCACAACTAAGGAAAAAAAGAACCAAAACAACCACAAATTCGTATGTGATTCCTTTGTTTTAAGGCACAGCCGGGATCCAGAGTGCATCCTGCTTTTCCAAACTGCGCTCACACTCCTTCCCTCAAGCACAGGGGGTGGCAGGGGGAGAGGGAGGTGAGTGGGGGATGCGGCATCAATGGGCAGAATGGGGGCTTAGTAATGCCCTGCCCAAAAATCTGTCCACTCAGAGTTGTTAAGTGCTCCAATTTTCACCTTCCTCTCCCAGTCTGGTGTTGCATAAACAAGTTATTGTCAAATATCCAGAAGGCCATCTGTGCCGATCAAAGGAGGCTGCCCGTGTTCACACCAGCTCTTTTAGGAAAGACATTTTCAAAGCAGTTCTGCTCTCTTAGCCCAGTTTTGGTAAACCACATCTATAAAGCATTTTCACGAGTGTCTGGCTGCAAAATATACCTTTGAGGTCCTGCAACCCTTCATAATTTAGACTTCACATAGCCCTATCTTTATTTTCTGGCTTTATTTCCCACGTTTGTAACTCAATACTACATAATGACTAAGCACATTCTTTAGCAGAAAAAAATGAGGGGAATGACAACAATAATTAATTACATATCTTTTCTTGACTATTACCACTGTACCCTTAATACCACAGAATTCTTTTGTAAGGAAAATAAACCCACAAAATCGTTCTGTTGGAAGTTTCTTGAGATACAAACTAGAATTTTATTCCAGTCACACAACATCGAGATGATGCACACACAGTTTTTCTTAGAAGTCTTTCCCGTTGTTTTCTAGAATCCAATATGCAGAGAACAATTTTGTTATGTGGAACAAACATATGTAGACCTCCTTCCCCTGTGGAATGGTGAGCTTAGCACTGCCTCAGTTTTAGGGAAATTAAATTCAGTGAACACCAGGTCACAGATGTTAAGTCATATCTACTTTTCCCTGTACTGGAGGATGGAGAAAGACACGGTCACATTGAAAACTGCTCCTGTTGCTGCAGTACCACAAACAGCAAGGCAAAGACTCATGAAGCCAAGAAGCTTCTGGCTTCTGCAGCCATGAGCAATAAAGAAAAATAAGCCAGAAGGAGCCCAAATAAAGCCAGAAGGAAATTGGAAGCCAGCAGGACAGCACCAGAGAATTAAAAGCAACACTGTGACCTGCTGTAATACCAGCAGCTTTTCTAAGACTGACTCACTTTCTCCCAAAAACAAATGCCGGCTCGAAACTCCTCGTTTCGCACAGGGAGAAGAGGGCGTGGATCCAGTGATCAGTGCCACAAAAACGAAATCGAAAGAGATTGTGCTCTTTCCAATGTAATGCAGTGACCATCACAGGTAATGTAGTGGCACATCACATCAGGCCGCTCCTTGGGAACACTGGCAACTCGTACCTGCCTGAAACATTTCCCAGTGCTCTACAAACCTGCTAAGGAACGCCGGTGATACAGCTTCATGCGCGAGTGTTAAAAGGCACCAAAAGTGGAGCAATCAGGAGCCCGAGGCTAGGAACACGCCTCCTGTTGAGAAACAATCTGTTCAAGGTTACTACCAGGACCACATTATACTATTTAGGGGTTTAATTCTGCAAGTTTTACTTCCTTTCCCATTCACCCTTCTCTGAAACACGATGGTACAACAGTGACTACCTTCTCCTTAGTAATCTTAAAGGAAACAGGAACAACCCAGATTGCTAAAGTCTCTAATGTTTTCCTCTAGCACGTAGTGAATAGAGCGCTTACAGCAAAGTTGGAGCTAGCTGACCAGGACAAGTGATATTCATACCACTAAAAAACTCTTAATTCCCACTGTTGAAACATTGAAAATACCAATGCATTAGCCGAGAAAAAAAAAATTAAGAAATCTAAAAAGGCATGAAATGAGAAAAAATCTCAGTGAAAAAAAACCTAAGTTGTTTTAAGAAAAAGAAAACTAGCAGTAAACAGTCTCGGTCAAGGAACAGGGAGAAAGAAATAAAGAAGAGCATAATTAAAAACTAAAGAAAACACAAACTTACGTATCAGTCTCCTTTCAGTAGAGAACGAAAATAGCAGTGACACAACCCTTTATGACGAATGTGGGCGGCTCTGAAAAGAGCCTTTGTTTCACGATGAGCCACACAAAGCATTTACTTGGCTTTAGCCTTGTGGCTGTCGGTCTTCTTGGGCAGCAGCACGGCCTGGATGTTGGGCAGCACGCCGCCCTGCGCGATGGTCACCTTGCCCAGCAGCTTGTTGAGCTCCTCGTCGTTGCGGATGGCGAGCTGCAGGTGGCGGGGGATGATGCGCGTCTTCTTGTTGTCGCGGGCCGCGTTGCCCGCCAGCTCCAGGATCTCGGCCGTCAGGTACTCCAGCACGGCCGCCAGGTACACCGGGGCGCCGGCGCCCACGCGCTCCGCGTAGTTGCCCTTGCGCAGCAGCCGGTGCACGCGGCCCACGGGGAACTGCAGCCCGGCCCGCGACGAGCGCGACTTGGCCTTGGCGCGCGCCTTCCCGCCCTGCTTCCCGCGCCCGGACATGGCAGCGACTTCAGCGGCACCTACAGCAGCAGCGGCAGCGAGCTCAGGAAAGCCGGGAACACCGAGCGAACGCTGAGCGGGAGCCCCGCCTGCATTATATACAACTGGGCCGGAGCGGCAGCGCCCGTTCTGATTGGCTGCGAGAGAGGACTTGTTCGACGGCCAATGGGAGAGCGGCTCGGGTCGCGTCCAATAGCGAATCCCGGCGCCCTGCGCGGAGCCGAGGACCAGCCAATCGCGATGCGGCGCTGCCGGCAGCGCTGCTATAAAGTCGGCTCCCGAGGCCGAGGCGCTGTTGTGCGCTGCTGGTCGTATTGTCTAGAGCGAGTGAGGGAGCTGCGGTTGCTGCCATGCCCGAGCCGGCCAAGTCCGCCCCCGCGCCCAAGAAGGGCTCCAAGAAGGCGGTGACCAAGACGCAGAAGAAAGGCGACAAGAAGCGCAAGAAGAGCCGCAAGGAGAGCTACTCCATCTACGTGTACAAGGTGCTGAAGCAGGTGCACCCCGACACGGGCATCTCGTCCAAGGCCATGGGCATCATGAACTCCTTCGTGAACGACATCTTCGAGCGCATCGCCGGCGAGGCGTCGCGCCTGGCGCACTACAACAAGCGCTCCACCATCACGTCGCGGGAGATCCAGACGGCCGTGCGGCTGCTGCTGCCCGGCGAGCTGGCCAAGCACGCCGTGTCCGAGGGCACCAAGGCTGTCACCAAGTACACCAGCTCCAAATAGGCGCTTTCTGCGTCCTCTGTCGGATAATTTCCACCCAAAGGCTCTTTTAAGAGCCACCCACCTTTTCAGCAAAGGAGCTGACACCGGAGGGAGTGCTTACCTGTCCCCTTCATTGTCCCGTTATTTTTTTGTTTTCGGAGGGGGTGCCTGGGGAGGGGGGGACATGTGTAGCTGCGTTGTAATGGTACCGTGAATCTCAAGGGAAGCCGGTTGTGCCATATTCGCTATAAATGGTTACATCCTGCATCTGCTTCAACGAATCCGCTGGTGTATATAATGCCCTTAAAAGTCTAAGAAGCCTTCTTATGTTTACAATGTAGGAGAAGTAGCTTAAGAAATAAATGCTGTCCCTAGTCTTAACGGCCAAAACCAATGCTCTGACAGCCAGTACGTTGTATTTTCCAGTAAAGCTACGCTAACGAAAGTCTCATTCGGAGACATTAAAGGCACAGGCAGTTCCAAACGACCCTGTGGCCTTGCTTTTAAGTTCTTTGATTCTGAGCAAAGGGATCCGCTATGGATACTCGCTCTCCTTCATTACCAGCAAACTGCGTTTTCATAAGCGACCGGGGGAAGAAAAACGAAACTCTGCTTTGCTTTTTCGTCCCCAAAATGCAGTTCTGCACAGTCGCTAGCACCGAGCACAGTGTGTATCTTTGCCAGTTTTCGTCCCCCTCCCTCTCCCCACCGCCTCTGTCCCCGCTCCCCACAGACTCCGCCGCCGAGCAGCGGGCGGCGCTGGGGGCGGGCGGGCAGGGCTGGGCCCTCTGCCGCTTTCGGTCCGACCTGAGTGAGGACTACGCGGAGCCTCCCCGCGGGCGGGCCCGGCCGCCTCAGGCGCCTCCCGCCACGCCGCTGATTGGTGCCGCTCGCGGCTCGCAGCCCGCGCTTCACCGTGAAGCGCCCCCCGCCACAGACGCGCCACTGCCACCGGGGCGGCAGCCGGGTAAGCTTGGCCGGGCAAGTCGGCTGCCGCCTGCGCCTTCGGCCTTTCTGCCGCGGCCCTCGACCGAACGCGGCTGCCGAGCGGGAAGGCACCGCGAGCCCTCGGAAGGAGGCGGCCGGCGGCGGCGGCAGCTTTAGGCAGCGGTGCCGAGGCCGGGCCGGGACGCGGGTGGAGCGGCTTTGCAAAGAAAGAGGGCGAACCCGAGGCTCGGGCAGCGGGAGCGCACCGTAGCGCTCGCTGCGGTGCCGCCGCCCCTCCTCCGCCTGGCAAGGGGCTGCGGGAAGGGGCCGGGGCGGGGCGAGCAGGGGGCGCGTTTCCCGCCCCGGAGGCGGGGCCTCTTCCCGGGCTCGAGCGAAGCGTCCAATGGCAGGCGGGCGGTGCCGCGAGGGCGGCCAATGGGCGCGGGCGGCGGCTTATAAATGCCGGGGGAGCGGGGCGGCTGGCGCAGTGTGCGTTGTGCTGATCGCGATCGGCTTTTTGCTGGGGCTGGGCCATGGCGCGCACGAAGCAGACAGCGCGTAAGTCGACGGGCGGGAAGGCGCCCCGCAAGCAGCTGGCCACCAAGGCTGCCCGCAAGAGCGCGCCGGCCACGGGCGGCGTCAAGAAGCCGCATCGCTACCGGCCCGGCACGGTGGCGCTGCGCGAGATCCGGCGCTACCAGAAGTCCACGGAGCTGCTGATCCGCAAGCTGCCCTTCCAGCGCCTGGTGCGCGAGATCGCGCAGGACTTCAAGACGGACCTGCGCTTCCAGAGCTCGGCCGTCATGGCGCTGCAGGAGGCCAGCGAGGCTTACCTGGTGGGGCTCTTCGAGGACACCAACCTGTGCGCCATCCACGCCAAGCGCGTCACCATCATGCCTAAGGACATCCAGCTGGCCCGCCGCATCCGCGGCGAGCGCGCCTGAAGAGTCTCCTGCCGCAGCCCTTTCCGCCCAGGCACGGAGGCAAACCCACACGGACCCAAAGGCTCTTTTAAGAGCCACCACATGCACAATTAGAAGAGCTGTGCACTGGTATGAAATGAATACATTTTCAGTAGTTGGAGAAAAAGGGAGCTTTTATGTTCTGGGGGTGTATCTTTATATAATTATTCTTGAGCTCTTATAATTACTGCTTTTGTCATATATCGAAGTAGCTGTTAAGTTTCCTTTTCCTGATAGTTTGAGGTAAGACTAAAACTTGTGATGAGCTGTAGGACTTCTACCTATTTTGGAGCCAGTTACATTTCTAAAAGGTGTTAAGTTTTTCCCCCGGGATAACTGCAGACACAGTAGTTTATGTACTCGCTCTTTGCTAAGAGCTGTGTCGTCAGGCACAGTCACAGGGATGTAAAATCTATTATTTGAGACTGCTTATCTCCTTTAACTAATGTATTTTCACATTCCTTACTTTATAGCCCTCACCTACTGTTCATGAAACACACATTACTGTCTGGAAAACCTCGAGGATTAATGTAAATGAAATTTAGAACCTTACGGGGGTTTATAAAATAATTTTTAATATGCAGGAGCTCAGTATAATGAGACTTAGTAAAAAAAAAAAAAAAAGCTGGGAACACCCATAAGGGGGCAGCAGGGACTAAGAAATCACTTTATGCTATTTAGTTCTCAAGCCGTTAGCAAGTTGTTAAAAGATTTCAACTAATAAAATGAATTAATAGGTAAGTGCTCTATTAATATTTTAAGGCATTTGTTTTAAATTTTATTTTTCAGATCGGGAAGACCTATAAAACAGTTAAAAAGAGAAAAAAGTATTTCCCTACCCTATAAATTCAGGAAGGCACCTTTGAAATACATGGCATTTTTCTGTGAGAGATATGAGAGGGGAGAGGCCACGGCTGAAACCCAGGGCAGATTTGAACTCCCTCTTTTCAGAAAGGACTGGCTGATTTACAGGAGGTGGATGGCACAGGAAAGGTGCCCTTTAAAGGCCTGGCAATTGAAGCAACTCTTCCATAATGAGCAAAATGAAGGCTTATCAGTAAATAGAAGGGTTCAGTAGGGAAAACAATATGCAAGCCTAAAAAAATACGAATAGGATCTAAGTAGGATTTTATATTTGTACTACTTAACTAAATAGTTGTTTTCGGTATTTGGGATTAAACAGTCAATGCTAAGGTACAGAATACACTCTGAAAAAAATTCTGCTAAAATAAAGAAATTAAAGCTCCTTTGCTGAAAAGGTGGGTGGCTCTTAAAAGAGCCTTTGGGTGGAAAATATCCGACAGAGGACACAGAAAGCGCCTACTTGGAGCTGGTGTACTTGGTGACAGCCTTGGTGCCCTCGGACACGGCGTGCTTGGCCAGCTCGCCGGGCAGCAGCAGCCGCACGGCCGTCTGGATCTCCCGCGACGTGATGGTGGAGCGCTTGTTGTAGTGCGCCAGGCGCGACGCCTCGCCGGCGATA